TTATTGTGCTCGGTAATGAGTTAGTACTATGACGATATCTCAAACATTTTTCAGCAAATGTACGTACAATACATTGCTTGACTTTTGGTAGCAATCTGTTACATAGCTTTAGAAATGTTCCATAATGCCTCTCCCCTCTAGAGAGAATAATGGCAATGTCATTTGACATAATAACTTCATTATGCCTTAAAATGGGTCACTATATATATATGTGTGTGTGTGTGTGTATATATACATATATATATATATATATATATATATATATAAACCATTTCAGGTGACTACCTCTTGAAGCTCATCGAGAGAATGCCAAGAGTGTGCAAAGCAGTAATCAGAGCAAAGGGTGGCTATTTTGAAGAAACTAGAATATAAAACATGTTTTCAGTTATTTCACCTTTTTTTGTTAAGTACATAACTCCACATGTGTTCATTCATAGTTTTGATGCCTTCAGTGAGAATCTACAATGTAAATAGTCATGAAAATAAAGAAAACGCATTGAATGAGAAGGTGTGTCCAAACTTTTGGCCTGTACTGTATATATATATGTATATGTATATATTTTTTTTTTTTAAATCAATTTTGATATTTTTTTAACTGTTTTTTAGGTATTTGCTGAAGTTTTACCCTTTTTAAAAACTTTTTCAAACTGTCGTCAGCTACTGTACAGTGGGAATGTTAAGGGTGAGGTCGCCCTCTCTGGCTACTTTGTGGGGTTTTCTGAACAGGAAAAGAAGAACTTTGTCAAACGGCTCTCTATTCCAATTTTCACTCCTTATCCACAAACATTAAAAAAAAATACTGCTACTACTAAGTAATGCTACTGCTACCAGCACTAAGGCTAGTATCAGTACTGCTTCTCTGACAGATGACAGTGTGCCGTTTTAGTATCAGTCCATGTGTCCTGAAAGATTTCAATGTGCCTGATATATAGGAGAAATTCCAGCAATTATATGTGTTTATTGAGCTTAAAAACAATAGATAGGTAGGCTATATAGATATTGACATCACAAAAGCATGTAGATTTACAGTATGTTTTTATTAAAAGGTAGGCTACTTTTGCTTGTACATTATATTCCAAATAAAATAAGTCTTGTTAATAGACTCAAGTGCATAATAATGCTACTTTAAAAATAAGAAAATATTACACAAGCCTACGTCCATTGGGGAAACACATAAACATGAAGTAAATTCCTCCAGCTTACACGTGTCCTAACTGAATGCAACATGAGCGAGTGTTAGCAACAAATCAGTTTGATTTCATTGTTTATTATTTGTTGAACTTTTGCCAGATGCACTGTTTCTATTTATTCCTTTCTCTTCATGAAGATGATGTGAGGCGTTATCTCCTATTTTTTACTACAAAAACTTTAATGTCATAAACTTGAATGCTTAAGTGTCAGCTGGCGAGTGAGATCACCAGGGAGCTGAAAGTTTCTGGTTAATGCCATTGCTAATAACAACCTACTTGCTGTTGGCTATATCATATCCAATGAATATCACAATATAAAACATGGTGTTCGTTTAACAAGTATAAATATGGAAAGATAGCAAGTACTCACCCATCTTTTAAGTAGTTACATCTTCAGTCTGATCTTGAGCGCTTGGCTGATAGTTACTTGTTTACCTGAGGTAACTGAAATGCATATTTAACAGATTCGACAAGGAGCGTCTAATGTTACGTAATGCGATGTGATAGTTGGACGCTCACTTGCTGTTCGGACAATGTCTTAGAACAACTCAGAGGGAATTATTTTCACCGCATATTGTAACTGTAGAGATTTAACTATATCAGACTTTAACAGATATCAGAAAAAAAGGTAATTACCGGATAAAGAAAACTCTGACATTTGTATCCAACTATTTAACTTTAGCAGCCGTCTAGAATCACTATAGCAACAACTCCAACTTCCGTGGCAACAACACTGAACCGTAGGTCCGCCTCGTAACACCATATCAATCGAGCGTCTGACTATCGTGCCGCATCGCATTACATCGGACACTGTCTGTCCACATCCATTGAATTCACTGAATATGAAATTCTGTCACATCATCTAAACGTAACAGCTGTGTGCTTAGAGTAACCACTGAAAAGATGGGCTGGTATGTGCTTCCTTATTATTCATATCCACAAAGATACCTTCTGGGGTATCATTGCTGTAGCTACCATACTATATCATACCACCATCTCCACTTTGTAAAACAAGCTAGCTTGCTAGATAGCTCTGCTGAGCATCCCACACAACAATAATTCAGCTCCCTGGTGACCTCCAGCCAGATGGCAACTTATTGAAGTTTCTGTAGTGAAATGAGGAGTGAATCAGCCATTCCTTGTCCATCGTGGTGCTTTCAAAGTGAGCGACAGGCATAGAATAAAAATGGGGTGTCTGACAAAAATTCACTCAAACTGATTTAGTCACTGCCACTCACTCATGTTGCACCCAGTTAGGACACAGTGTTATGCTAATGCAACCACTCCAAGTAGAGAAGCACCCACTCCAACACCTCAGCAATACCAAAAGAACCCACCTGAAGCACCCTAGCAACTGCCTAGTGACCAAGCTGATCATCCTACCCACAAGCACCCTTACACCCTTGAATCCACACAGAAAATACTAGCAATGACCAAGTGTTGGCCATCATGAAACGTATCAGTAATTACCCAGCAATGTCTTTAGTAATAACCTACTGTACAGAAGCCCTACCAATTTTCCGGTATGGCCCTACAATATTTACCATCTAGGTCTCCTTAGCACACCAATGCCAAAAACAGCGTCATCAGTAAAGAATATGGGACCTGTCATTCAAAAAGCTGTGGCTACAAATGCAGGTGCTAATTTCCATTCAGCTGCAACATGCAACAATAAAGACATTTACACAGGTGCCACTTCCGACTCCAACGAGGCCCATAGTGAGCAACAATGTGGAAATGTCTTACTTTATTCATTTCCTTCTCTACTGGAGCTCAGCTGGTACCCCAAGATAATATTGTTCATGTTGTGGAGCTTCACAATTCTACTGTCTCTCAGGAGTGGGCGGCCAGTGTGGGATAGAAAGATGGGGAGGTAGTGTTTGTGTGTATGTTTGTAGGATGTTGTCGTCACAGAACCTTGGTTATTGTGTGATAGTCACATACATTCTGTCCCAGAGACACAACATTACATATGGACGACAAACCATTTTAACTGAAACCCCTGAGGTTTTCATAATTTTGTTCATGAGGGCTTTTGTACAGTTTCTCATTTTCAGACTATTTAAATCTCCGCTGGTGTTGGTGATGACATTTCTCCTGTTGTTTGTTGTGATATTTCCACTTCCTGCTTCATAGTTTAAAGTGTCTGCTGCAGATTTGGTTCTACAGTGAGTAAAACAAGGGTCTTTTCTTCACTGGGATTATGTACAAATCCACTGTTGCTCTGCATTTCTGTATTTCACAAATTCCCCTCTTTGTATTGTAGTTTCTTGTCTCTTTTATTACACTATTAAAAGTTCCCTCTTGCTGTTATTCCCCCTCTCTCTCTGTGTTCCTCTCCCTCTATTTCATTTTCTTTCTTGGTTACATTCTGCCATTTTATCTATGCATACTTCTCTGTCTTTCTCTGACTCTTTGAACAATGCCCAGATAAGTGATGCTGGTTCTCTGTCTGCATTCACTTCTCTTCGTCCCTTCTTACATTAGTATGCCAACATTACATTCAGCTGATTAGATAGCCAGCTTCAAGGATGAATCCCCCCCTAGTGGCCCTTGCCTCTTTGTGTGTGTTTCTGCGCGTGTATGCATGAACCACACAACATCACAACGTCTCTCTCTCTTCAAGGTAATGGGGGTTGTCTGCTTTTAAATGGAGAAATAAGAATGGCTTCCCACTCGGTGCGCCACTATTTTTTAATTTGTGTGCAATACAATAACGAGAAACTACTGTCTTATGCTCCTTCCTACACTTTCCTTTCATTTCCTCCTCTCCATCTCCTCTTTTAAAATTGTATCTTTACCTTTATCTCTCTTTGCATTTTATTTTCTTGCCGATTCCCTTACTTTTCATCTTCTTTTAACTGTTAAGTTTATGTCTCCTGTCTTAATGTTAATTATTTTTATTCCCTTCTTTTATTACACCTGTTCTTCTCTCAAGTCTTCTCATTCACCCTCTCCACAAGTCATTTTATTCTGTCTCACCCCCTTTTTGTCTTTCTGTTCTCCTTCATGCTCCTCCTCTGCCTCACCCTGCTGTTGCTCCATCACTCAGGCCACCTACCTTCTTCTCAGTGTGGAGACAGCATGTCAAACAGGCTGCTAAAGCCACCGGTGGCCAGCACTTTGAAAAGCCTCCTTTCTTTTTAGATCCTCCCTTTTTAGTCTGTCTTTACCGGCAGTTGGAGCCCTAATCTCTTTAACCCTGCCTGTGCTACTACACCTTTCCTCTTCTCACTGATGTGGCCTTAGAGTTTCATAGTTTAAGCAGAAGTGGTGGCTTGTATGAGATAAGTAAATAATGAATAGTATTTGGGGATGGGTTGGGGGTGACACTTTGTTGTTAGTTTGTATGACCACTTTTTTCATTATTTAATCGACATTGTTTGCCCAAAGCATATTATGCAACTGCCACAGGCTTAGCTAGTTAGTTACATTTTAAGTGAATGCTAGCTTTGTTTTGCCTCTAGGTGACAACAGTATCATGAAATTCTTGAAATGATTCCAATGGCCTGATGGTATTTATGTTGGAGGTGATTCTCTATTGATTGCCACTGTGTTTGTATTTGTTTGTCTGTAATGCCTCCACTAATATTGGTTAAAAGTTTCTTTGTGGTTTATCAACTGGAATTTCTGTTTGAAAGAAAAGTCATAGCCAGTGGTTAACTGTCACAAAAACTATCTTTTTGATGAAGTGATCCAACTCCCACTGGTTACAGCTAAACAATAACTTTTTTTAAGAAGCATTGTAGTCTTAATAGTGGTCAATTAGGACAAATCCCTTATCACTCTCCTCTCCCCTTCTTTCACCAGGCACCAATGTTCTCTTGGCCACGTCTGAGGGAAGCAGACCCTGTGCTTCGCTGTGAGATGGCCTCCACTGGAGAAGTAAGCCCCTCTAAGACATACAACCCCATTTTCTGTTAAAACGTGTTATTATTACCTATTTTAGTAACACTTCATGTTAAGGTTATACTCTTTATTGGTCATTATAAAGCACTTATAAATAACTGATTCCTCATGACCATATTCTACAACTAGTAGTCCAGTAACTAATTATGAGCTTTATATGTTGTGCTGTGTATGGGCTTTACAGAAAAGTACAAGTGTCAATAGTATCCATATGACTCTAAATTCAGTCTCTCTAACTTGGATTATACCGATCAGCTAAAACAATTACAACCACTGGCAGGTGAAATGAAGAACATTTATCATCCTGTTACAATCCAGTGGTCCTGGCATTCATGTGGATGCCACACACTTCATCCACCGAAACACTGTTGCAGACCAAGTACGCCTCCTCATGACAACAGCACTTCCTGATGGCAGTTGCCCCCCCAGCAGGACAATGAACCATGCCACATCACAAAAACTGCTCAGGAGTGGAGGAACATGGCCTCCAAATTCCCTGGATACCAATTGATAGACCATATGTGGGACGTACCAGTACCCCAGAGGTACCTCTGATTCATGGTGGGGCCTCCTTGGATCAGACTTGGCTCTGACTCGTCAAAGCATGGACACAGGACCTCTGGGGATGTCCTTTGGTGTCTGGCTCTGGCATTGGATGCTTTGAGTCCTGTGGGTTGTAAGGTCGGGTAACGCCAAGTCCCAAAAATGCTCAATCAGATTGGGATCTGGAGAATTTGGAGGCCAGGTTAATACCTTGAGCTCTTTGTCACCTTCCTCAGGCCATTCCTGAGCAGCTTTTGTGGTGTGGCTTGGAGCATTGTCCTGCTGAGGGGCCACTGTCATTGCCATAAGGGAGGGTATACTTTGTCTGTAGTTGTGTTTAGGTGGGTGAAGCGTGCCAGATGGTATCCACATGAATGCCAGGACCCAAAGTTTCCCAACAGAACACTATTGTAACAAGTTGATCGATTCAATTCTCTTCACCCACCAGTGGTTTTAACATCTGATCAGTGCATGACCTGTTTTCTAAATTGAAGTCCTGTTCGTAACTAATTCACTAGTATTTTGACACTTATTAAACCACACAGGTTGTCTATTCTAAAGTTGCCTCTTCTTCACAATCCCATTATAACACACAATTACTGCAATTAACAGACAATAATCTTAAAAGGATAGTGCACCCAAAAATGAAAATTCAGCCATTATCTACTCACCCATATGCCGATGGAGGCTCAGGTGAAGTTTTAGAGTCCTCACATCCCTTGCAGAGATGGGGCTAGCAACAAAACTCCACCTAATGGAGGCTGGGCGCCCCAGATTAAAACGTCCAAAAAACACATAATTGAAACAACAGAATATCTCCATACTGCTCGTCCATAGTGATCCAAGTGTCCTGAAGCCCCGACATAAAAAGTTGTTTGGAAAAACGTAATTTAATCTCTGTTTTTAGCCTCATTGTAGCCTGTAGCTCTAACTGCCTCTCTGTGTACACTGAGCTCACGTGTGCGCGCTTGCGCACGAGACCAGCTGAAACATGTGAACACACATGAAGGCGGTGCCGATGTCTCACGGTCTCGCGCAAGCACACACACGTGAGCGCAGTCTACAGAGAGGCAGTCAGAAGTTTGAAAATCTCTGAAATGGTCCATTGAAAAAGGAGATATTTATTGCAGTAGTTGTGTGCCATAATGGATTTACTGTGTTAAGATGAGGTAACTGTAGAATAGGGAACATGTGTTGGTTAATAAGCGTTAAACTACTAGTAAAGTAGATATACGCACTTTAGAATGGGTAACATTTTTTGAGTTAGAAAGACTAAATTAGTAATTTAATAAGTAATTTGGACACTATTACCACTTTGTTGTCTGTTTTATCGCATAAGACTAGACCATATTTATGAGGTAATATTAAGGGAGAATGATTATTCTTGCAATACTACCACCTCATAGGATCCACGCTGAGCAAAGTGTTTTAAGATCATAAATAATGAACAACAGCCTTCTTACTTACTATCAATAAGCAGCAATAAGGAGGTTATTGAGGGAAAATTCTAATGGCCTAGCAGTTGTAGAATCTGTTCATGCCGCATAGGGCAATAATATATATTCATGCTTATAAGCAACTAGTTTATGGTGAATATGTGCACCTTAATATAAAGTGTTACCCTTTTAAGCCCATCTAATTTGGAGATTCAGTGTTAACAGTTACTCTTGTGCCTGTGTGTCTTATTGCAGGTAGCTTGTTTTGGACCAAACATTTATTCAGCCTTCCTGAAGGCTATGCTCTCCACAGGCTTCAAGCTACCACAGAAGGGCATCCTGATTGGGATTCAGGTAAGACTACAGCCATCTGGAAGTCCACTTGCCTCCTGTTCGTGTTTCCTTTTGGTGCCTCCTGCCCACAAGACACCAAATGCAAGTGCCGTCTGAACAGGTGGCATAAATCTTTCAGGCTATCAGCTTCTTACAGCGCCAGCCTGACAGTCCTTAGTTTGTTTCACATCGAATCACCCATTGATTCATGTGTCGCTAACAACTCCCATGTGACTTAAAGACAACAGCACTCAACCTATCAGCAGTGATGGAGATGAGTGGATTAGATGAGTAAACCTGATGCTGTTATACCTGAATGAATAAGAGGAACTACACAGCCATAACACTCAATCAGTGAGCATCCAAAAAACAATAATCCTCATTATAAAATCTCCCACAGTGAAGAGAAACATCTCGTAAAAAATTACAAAACTAGTTAAGTGCTGTACAAAAACGTGTATCTCATCAAACACATGCTCTTTTAAAAGACGTTCTCTATAACCACTGCTGACAAACTTGATACAAACATCCCTCAATCCTCTCCCCGTCCTCAGCTGCAGAAATGAACAAAATGTGAGCCTGAGCACTCTACTTTTTAATGATATCACGTCACATGCGTTTTGGTAATTAAGTCTGGCTGCCGCCCTGGGTTGCCAAACTGCGAGTTTGACTAATGCAGCGTTAACAAAGCACTCACAACACTCGCTGTATAATTGGTGCTCTTGGGGAACAGGTCCACTTCAAGGCAAGTACCTTGGGGTCACATACGCACTGTAACAAGGCTGACAAGCAGCCACACTTTAAGCTGACAGATCCAGAACACACAGCAACACAGATGGAATTTACCTCCAACAGTTTTGAGAACGTTTGTGGTGAAAGGATGAAAACAGTCTTTGATACATTTTGCAATTTAGTGAGGCAATCTCGTGACAAAGGCTGTGGCCTCTGGCGTGAGGGTGGTAAAATGTCACAGTTTCACACAGGTGGTGGTGTTATATTTGTATGGGGACTCCCTTGTACTATACTGTTGCCATGGTGTCATCATCATCAGAGGTCCTAATGTGGGTGTATTGTGATTATTCTGCTGACAGTGTGCAAATGTGACTAATGTGTTACCACCCATGCTGCTAAGTATATTCAAGTAGCAAACACAGAAACCTGTTTCTATATTTTCTTTCAGTGTGTTTGTCCTATACTGGTAATGTATCACATATACTTGCATATGTGACATTGTCTGCCTGTTGCACAGCTCTCTAAAGCTTCCTGTTTGCAGCTCTCTCTCTCACTCCCTCCATTGGTTTTAGTACCTACTATGAACAGCACTGCCACTCATGGTGCAGAAACAACACATGTAGACTATCTTGGCCGGTAAATTTGTTATTTTTGCTATTTTCCTATAGATACATGATTGCAATCATCCATCCATCCAAGTATAAATGTTGACTTTGCGCCAAGAAGACAGTAGACAGAACAATGGCAGAGAGAAATGGGGACACAGAAGCACCGGTTCTACCAAACACTTTCAGTATGTTACCTCTGGAACCAAAAGTGGGTCCATGTCATTGGTTCGACAGCCCATTGGTTCGACAGCCCATTGGTCCGACTGTCCGCGGTGCTGAACAGCTCGCTGCGGGCGTATGGTGCGCCGGCTTGAGGTGGAGCAGGCTCACGGCTTATGTGTTTGTCACTTTCTTTTTCATTTTAACCCACACCATGATCTTTTCCTGACCCTAACCAAGTGGTTTTTGTGCCTAAACCTAACCAGACCTTAACACAGGGCATCATGATGATTTCGGAACGGACTTCGGAACAATGAGTTTAATATGGTCGGAACAATGCGATGTTGAATCAATGGGCTGTTGGACCAATGGGCAGTTCTCACCAAAAGTAACCCTTCAGACACAGTACCTAGACCCTAGCGTTTCCACTGCAAACAGTACTTGTGGGTATGGCTGCAACGATTAGTCGACTAATTGATGACTAATCGACTATTAAAATAATCGGTGACTATTTTAGTAGTCATGGAAAAGTACTATAAAAGTACCCCAACATACTCTTATTGCAGCTTCTTACATTCAAATATTGGCAGCTTTACACACTCTCCCATGACGGGGAACTAAAACCCTTTGGCGTGAGTACGAAACAAGACATTAGATGACATAATTTTGGGGTTTGGGAGAGACTGACCGACATTATTCAACATTTTAACACATTTTTCGATAAAATGATTAGTCGACTAATCGAAGAAATAATCGACAGATTAGTCGACAATGAAAATAATCGTTAGTTGCAGCCCTACTCGTGGGCGGGGTTTTTGTCACTCACTGCTCCGCTAAAAGTGTATGTCTTATAAAAACTAATGAAATGGTCAAAGTTGTTAAAGCAGCTGTGTGGAACTTTACATTTTCGTTGATTATGGTGCCCCCTTTGGTCGAAGCGGTATGACACACACAGCCTGGTGTCGGAAAATTCCGACTGCAGTTGGCATTCGGCTTCATTCGTAAAACCTTGGCTGCAACCGGCAATTACCACATGCATTTGTTTTGGAGAGCGAGAGGAAAATCATAAATGTTCTGGTGCAGCACTGAATTTCTTATAAACTGAGGACAACTGCCTGCTGTATATTTGTGTTCATGATCACAGTCACAGATAATTTTGTGGCGTTTGTTGTAACGTTAGTAGACAAAAGTGGTTCACATCAGCTAATGTTACATTTAGCTTGCTTATAACTTCCATGTCGTCATATATTGAAGTAAAACAACGTCTAACAAGTTGCAGTATATTCTCTAAATAAAAACAAAAATGACATACCTGTCGATTAGGGAAAAGGGCCAACTCGGGATCAGTTTTAAAACCTTTCAAATCTCTCAGCTCTCTCCACTTGGTGAATGCCTGACTGAGGTTTACACGTGTTTGGGCTCGAACCCTACCACTGTCCCGTTTAGCCTTCTTCTGTTCTTTTTCTTTTAGATGGTGCTCCTTCTTTATCCTCCATGATATCGAAAGTACAACCAAGTCCTTATAGATACATCTGGTAAAACTGTTATGTGTTCAGCAATGCCCGTTGCATACCGCTTACTTGAAGAACACTCTGTAAACACGGCTCTTCTTCTTCTCTCAATTTATTGGCGGATCGCAAACAACTCCCATGTGCATACCACCACCTACTGTACAAGAGTGTGCAATGTGTCCGAAATCATTCACTACTCCCTACTACATGTCATTTAGCCTGTTTCTTAAATCCTACTCGTACACACGCCTCCTTCTTCTTCTGTGGTTTAATGGCTGCTGGCCGCTGCGGACGTGCAGACTTACTTCCGCCTCCGGGTGCCGTATTCTGGTTTGCTGACTTCCACTGTGTCCAACCCGACCGAGGCTACGCTAAATAGCCATATAGAGAAAGGCTTTTTTGTTGCTGTTGGGTTCAAATAAATACGCAGATCTTCAAGGGGGGGTGATACGAACTAGGAGCAGTTTTATTAATGGTAAAAAGTTCTGCACAGCTGCTTTAAAGTGAAATTTAAGGCGTATTGATTGATTACATCGTCAGCTCATATTGACGAACATTAACGTTCCACCTTAAAAGTTGCCGGCAGTCGGCCCGGTGAATTAAGTTATTTTTTACTCCGACTACAGCTGCTGCAAGAGGCAGCAAAACATCCTTTCATTTTATAGTCATAGTCAACCAATAAAACTCTCCACGGCTGAACTTTCAATGCCCTTTGTACCGTGCTCCAAGTGCCTTATTCTGCACAGCTTTGTCATTCTCAAAAAGCCTAATCAAGCCTAAAAGTTTATATATGTATTTTTTTCACTTATTTATTTCCTGTACCAAGGAAGCTGACAAAACATTGGCTAACATAATTTTTTGTATTGTGAATGCAGTTTCTTGAGGAGATTAAAGAGTGCGAATATTGGCCTGCTTTCATGAAGTAACAAGAATTACGACTCCAAATGAATGCTACTGTTGTAAATGAGGAGCTGGTTGCGTTTACCATATCAACTTAAAGCAAAGTAATGATTCATTTGTGTTTCCAGCTGCTCTGTTACGCCCCAGCCCCCGACTGGCCAAGAACAACTGTCAATGCAGATTTTTAGTTCTAGACAGATTGGTTGCTTTGTGTCATTAATTTATGCTGGTAGCACACACTTGATGAGTCATATAGACAGATACAGTAGTAAAAGGACAGTAGCTGCAATCTGCAGGGAAAGAGTGTGATAAAACTGCTGCCTTTCTGGAAAGTTGACACTCATCATCCTTGGAAAATAGGACAGTGGTGTATCCTGATGAGGGAACCTGCATCGTCTCTGTCTCTCTCTCTCTCTCTGTCACACTCTCTCCAGTTCTCACTGTTTGCCTCCATCTTTTTAATTAGCTGTACCCTTTTTTGAACTAATACAGTGTCAAAACTGCAGCCAAATTAGAAACATGTATGTCATACAAGGCTGAGTAAAGTAGACTGCAGAATATACAAAGAATATCAAACCATATCACAATGGTTTTGGTGAGACAGCAGTAATTTTAGCAAGTATATTGTTTACTAAGCTGAAGGGCATCCAGTTTGAGCATAATCAGTTGCAAATTAGCAGCAAAAACTCACAAAAGAGTTTTCAGCACTTTCAGTATGTTTGGTGGAATCCATTAAGTGGGTCATTTGAGGCTGATGTCTAGCAACATAAATGCATTACAAAATGTTTTTTTTTATTCTTCCTTTACATTCTGTGTTGTTTGTGTGACAAATATGACATGTAATAATGGATGTTTAAATATATAACACGGTCCTGCCACAGGGCAAGTACCCTTGTGTACCCAGCGTGTCACATGCAAAAAGGTGATTCCCTGCAGGTTTTTTGTTTTAAGTTTATTTTCGGGTTTGGGGACCATGGAACATGGGTGTTGAATCGCAGGTGTTTGATTATAAATATATTGAAATGAGCGGAAATGTTGTCAGTGTTTTTAAGAATCTAATCATATGACTGCTGACAGGCATGTTAACTGTGTGCTGCTCAATATTATGAGAATAAGAAAGAAAAATCATTCAAAGATCCAATGTGTAGGATTTATGGGGACATACTGGCAGAAATGGAATGAAATATGATAAGTGTGTTTCCTTTAGTGTGTAATCGCCTGCAAATAAGAATCATTTTTGTTATCGTTTTTGTTACCTTAGAATGAGCCGTTTATATCTACATAGGGACCGGATCTTGTCTACGAAAATTGCCATGTTGCGTTGCCATGTTTCAACAGTTGGGTCTTAAAGTTACATGGACAAACCCAAACACTGGTTCTAGATAGGGCCATTCACCTTTCCTTGTCAGCCACTGTAGTTCGCACCCCCTACGCAACAAGTGTTGAAAAAACACCTTTTTGAGAGAAACTGCTTTATTCAGTGTTTTTCTCAGCTTAAATCACCAGGGGCCTCATGTACAAAGGGTGCGTACTCACAAAAACTTGGCGTACGTCCTTTTCCACAGCAAAGTCCAGATGTATCAAGAGTGAAATGGCCGTGGAAATGTGCGGTGCCTCACGCCAACTTCATGGCTGACGTACACACGTTTCTACAGCTGTTTATCCCTGGGCGACACAGAGGTGATGCTGAGAAGCTGTTAGAATAAATAAATGTGAAAACAATTAGTCCTCAGTGTGATGTGCACATCAGAGAAACATCAACAATTAACACTGATGAACAATTAACACAGCCACATGTCTGCAATTAGATGAGTGGATATAAAAGCATGCGCAAAGTGGTGCCGAAAATACCGTTAACAACAACGGCTGTTTTAGCAGTAGTAGAAGATTTGTAAATGGCGCAATACGAAGAGAGCGTGTGTTCAGAGACAGATGGCACTGGCTCATCAGCTGCTTTAGGTTCCTGAGGCCTATCCTCCTGGAACTGTGCGCAGAGCTGCAGCCGGCAGTGCGATACGGCGAGGAGCCATGCGCTGCCTGTATCCATACAGGTTCTGACCACACTGGGGTTCCTTAGCTCCAGGGGCATTCCAGAGGGAGCTGGCCGACCGATCGGGACTGTGCCAGTCGACCCTGAGCCGAGCCATGCCAGCTGTGTGGGACGGAATTATCCGCATGTCAGCCAGGTATATCAAATTCCCATAGCTGAACAGGCCAACATTAAAGCGCAATTTGCAACGACAGCCGGTTTTCCTAACATTATCGGAGCTATCGACTGCACACACATGACTACAGTATAAAAGCACAATCACAGGATGAATTTGTTTATGTCAACAGGAAGCATTTTCATTCAATCAATGTACAGATCATATGTGATGCGCAAATGCAATTAATCAACATTGTGGCGAGGTGGCCTGGTTTAACGCATGATTCATACATTCTGAGTAACAGCATGGTTGGGAACAGACTACAAGCTGGCACTGTGCGCGATGGGTGGCTTCTTGGTGAGTAATTTATTTGTTTAATTGTCCTAATATTAATCCCCCTGATGCGCACTGAGCATGTACGCCCCCAAATATTATCCTGTCTTCACAGCATCAGTACTAGTCAGTGATTAAAGTTTGTGACTTGTTGTTTTTTGCTGGTTAAACTACAGCTTCAGAGTTTTCTAATAAGCCCCTGATTGTCTCTGTGTGTAAAGTACTCATGTCAATAAACCCGTGCGTAAAGTGTGACATTTCTTAATCAGCCACACCTTTTCCCCGGTGCACTTTTGCATTAATTTACAACAATAGTGTGTGATCCGTGTAAGTGGTGTATAAAATTAACAAATGGAAACTGTAAATCCAGTTCACATAATTATTTGTCTGCTTTCAACTGACCCCAGGCGACTCTCTGTTTAAACTGGGTGAGCTCCTCCTCTCCTGTCCCCCCACCTGTTTTGGCCACACTTTGACGGTGGGCAGCCCTCCTCCGCTTCACGTCCACCTTAATGTCGGACCACTTCTTTTTTAATTCTGCGTGAGCACGCTTTTCTGTCCCCACAGCATTGACAGGCTCACACACACTCTCCCACTCACTCTTCTTTTGTTTTGTATTGATGCCAGAGGACAGCGTGCCAAAAAGTACATTTTTGTGCGCCTCCACTTCAGTGAGCGTCTCCAATTCGCATTCTGTGAAGTTTTTCTTTTTTCCCGCCTTACTCATTCTTTGTTTTAGTTTTCTGATCGTGCAGAGAGGGGAATTTTAGGTGCAGGATTCATTTAAATATGATTTGCATATTTAAATAGGGGCGTGGACAGGGAGGGGTCGGGTATTCCAACATGTGAGCTCAATTCCACGTTGATTGTGATGTACAAAGGAAATGTGCTTGGATTCATGTGTACGCACAGATTCATACATCTGGATATTTTTATGCATACGACGTTTTCTGGATTTAAGCGTACGCCATGTTTCAGTAGGAAATCCACGCAAGTCTTTGTACATGAGGCCCCAGGTCCATTTGTTTTGGAGAGGAAGAGACCTCTGCGGATAATTCGTAAAAACCTTTTGAATGTGTGGATCCTGAGTTATCAGAGAAAAAGATGAGCACAGATTGGCAGGTGCTAGGTTTGCAGGTCGTTTCCAAAGCGCCAAACTCAGTGCATCTGAGAAACACTGATTTCTACTGTGAAACAGTAGAGAAGGAGACTTCTGTGGATCATTTGGCTCTCTATAAAAACCTTCTGAATGTGAGGATCCTAAGTTATCAGAAAAGAAGTGAGCACAGATTGGTGGGTGCTGGGCTTTCAGCCTGTCTCTGACATGCCAAGCAGCTTTTCTCAGTGTTTTTACTGGTGTAAATGATCAGGTCTGTTTGATTGAGAGGAAGAGACCAATGCAAATAACTTGGTAAAAACCTCCTTAATGTCAGGATCAGAAATAAGGTAAGCCCACATTAGCACGTGCTAGGCAAGCAAGCTGTCTGCAAAATGCTGAACAGGGTAGAAGAAACTGATTTGTAACATGAAACTGCTTTATTCAGTGTATTTTCCCAGATTCCTGGGGTCCATTTTGAAGAGGAAGAGATCTCTGCGGGTAATTCGTCTACCGGTAAAAGCCTCCTGAACAATGACCACTGATGGAATTCTAACTAGGAATTTCAGCTGGTTGCAATCTGCAATCCTCACCACTAGATACCACCAAATCCCCTAAACCTTACACACAGGGCCCTTTAATTGTATTTCCTCAATTACTTTTATTTTAAAATATTATCTTAGTTTCACATGCATGAAATGCATGCATTTGAACAAGGCATGATTATTATAGGATTTGCAGTTATAGATTGCACACTTGTATAAGGTTGGGTTGTGGATCCAATTGATCATATGTGTGCTGGGGCGGGGCAGATGCTGTATTCCGGCGGTCCAGTTCGGAAGCAGGTCTTGGAAATCAGACCCATGCAGGACTCCGATATATATGAATGAACACGACATCTGTACAATCCAATGCAAATGGATTGTCAGACAGTCAATTTACTGCCACATTCACATTCAGTCAAGTCAGCAGTCATTTTTTATACAGTATACATTAGTAAAATAAGTCCCTAACCAGGGACTTTTTCTCTTTCCACTTTTTTTAGTCTCTATTCTGTTCTATTCTGACTTCAGTAAAGAGCCATCAAATGCCCTAAAAATTCTGAATAAATTAAAATAATAATCAGTTCCTCAAAAAATAAATATATTCATCACAAAGGGAAAACTGAACATAAAATTAAATCATAGAAATTAACTAATTTGAAAAGTTGAATTAATGTAACCTTGGCACTTGGCACTGTAATGCTGGAGTGGCTTTGGGGGTCAGTCTCCAGAGCTCTTAGGTGGCCGGGTCAAAGCCTGCACTTGAATGAACCCCAAAGAAAATCAAACAGAGCCTGTGACATCACTTTTCACCAGTGCCCCTCATCAAATCAGACGACAAAGCCATGATTAAAAACAAGCTAACTTAGAAGACATAGAACTTTACTTTCTTAATTAAAGCATAAAACATGCCTAAATAGCAATGGCATCCTTGAGCTAAACAGCAAATACCCCAAACTTGATTTGACTAACATTCTCTAAAAACTATAGCTGGCACCAAACCCAGGTTTCCAAAGCAAATGTGTTGAATGCTGCCTTTCAGTTGTATTATATATGCAGTGATAGGAAAAAGAGGCACGGATACATTAAGTCAATTGAAAGACGCAAAGTGGGACGAACGCCTGCAAAACTGCAGCTGGAGTTCCTGGTAAGCTTGGGAATGATTCAGCCTGAGTTGTAACACAGTCACTGTTTGTTGTCGCAGTAAACACATCTACTGTCAGAGACCTTTGTCTATTTTTGGCTGGTTGTTGCCAAAAGACAGTCGGCAAAACCATCCGAGCAGAGTGAGAAAGAAAATAGACAACCAAACATGTAAAAAAAAAAAAAAAAATGCTGTGCTCCACAGCACATTGCTCATACTCTGGGAACCTGTTGATAAGATTTCCTAGATATATGAACTGCAGTCATCAGTTTTGCATCATAAAATATTGTGCTACAGTATTTTGTTGCAGCAACTCTAACCAAAAAATAGAGGTGGAAAGCGATGACCATTGCACATTATGAATACTGATTTGAAACGGGGGCCAAGAGATGAGGGGAAATTAAAGCTCACTTTACTTTAATCTCCACACTGAACCTTTTCCTACAACTGCTGTGAACCATTTTGGATGAACATTGAAATCAACATGATAACGCTTCTTTTCTCTGTCTTTCTAATGCTGCATTTTGTTTCTTCCTTTCAAATTTCTGATTCCCCTCTCGCCCAGCATTCGTTCCGACCCAATTTCCTGGCTACAGCCCACCAGCTGAAAGAGGAAGGATTCAAGGTGAGTTCTGACAGCTTGGATGTTTCAAACCAGACTTGTCTTTGAACATCAGACAATATTTCAGCCTTGATTTTCAACATTTGCTGATGGAGCTTCTTGCTTCCTCTGCCTCTGTCCTAACTTACCTTAAATACTTGTTGTAATGTTGCCTTAATCCTGTCCTCTAGCTCTATGCCACTGAAGCCACGTCTGGCTGGCTGTGTGCCAATGATGTACCTGCCACTCCAGTTGCCTGGCCCAGTAGCAAGGAAGGAGACACCAGTTTTCCCAGTATTAAGAGGTTTGGAAACATTCATTTTTGAGCACCTAATTTACGTTATATATTCAAGGAACCCTGGACAACAAAGCCAGCTAGTGTGAAAATCTAAGCCAAAACTCTGAGGCTAGGACTTGCTTATGGTTTCCTGAGGCACTGCTTAAGTAATACATAAATTGTAATTCATTAGATTCAAAATCTGGATCTAATATCTAATCAGATACTGCCTTAAGATCTAAGGGCATAGCCCCTTCATTATCTCTGTAATATGCTGACAAGATCAAAGAAGATGTAGCAGACTTAGAAGTCCACAGCCATTGCATTAGCCAGAATTAGGAAGGATGAGGAAAGTCTTGTCAGAGCAGTGTCAAAGCAAGTTTGGGGAAATAAAAAAAAGAGGCTGAAGCATCTTGGTTTCCATTTGCCCATGGGCAACAGTAAAGCAAATTATAACTTGTACTTTTTTGTATCATTTAAACTAGCTTTAATTGACATTTTAGTTGACTGCTGTTAAAGTGAAGCTGACTGAGTTTCTTTCCGTCATTGTTCAGTTGTCAAAAGTCCAACCTTTTTAAACGTTGTAGAAACACTGAAGAACTGTAGCAGGCCGACTGACTGCAATTTTCAGGTAATGATTCTGCAAACAAGTCATGATCGTGCTACAATGAAAGCCATCTGGACCATATGTTTGGAAATGAGATGGTGAAGGGGATTTAACAGGCCCAGACCAAACTACAAACACACACACACATACACACACACAAGGCTGGCTGGCAGGCATCAGCTGTGCGAGGTGGCAGAGAGGCCAAGTCTTTATAGAGAGGAACATGACCTTTGTCGTTACTGTTGTCTGTCCTCCATATTTCCTTTCAGAATTCAGCCCTAATTCAATGCTGTCTGTCAAAGGCCTTCAAATGAAAAAGTCAACACTGCCAGGGCTTTACTGTGTGTGTATGTGTGTGCGTGTGACAGAGAGATGCTCTAAGTATTATATTTAGGAAGTAAGCAAAATCAATTCAAGCACTTGTGCGGCAGAGGGTAATATTGGGTTAATTCTCCTTGTTTTGCGAGTTGTTTACATTATTTTCTCAACTCCCTGTGACAGAAACTCGTCTTATAAACAAGGAAACTTATAATTAACTAAACTTTCTTTTTCACTTCATTTCAAGCTTTAATTGTTCTAGAAATTGGATGACAATTATGTGTGTTGAACCCAACTAGCCTAAAAAAAGAGACAGGTGTAGCTTAAATTGACACATATTGTGAGTGTGTGTACAGAGAGGATCAGGCCAACAGTGTGCATGTAATTTTTTCACCACCAGGAGGCAAACTCTCAGGCTTGAAGCAGCAGAGCCCTCCAATACTTTTAGTTGAACAAGTTCACACAGCAGACATATTAGCAAAGGCTTGTCTATGTGCACATCAAGCTAAAACTGGACAGTATGGACAACCCAACCCATCTATTAGGGGCTCATTGAGAGCCATTGGGACACAATTTTAAAGAGCCATAGAGTTGGTTGTTGATTTCATCTCTGACACTGTTTTTATAGACTGATCAGCGAGGGTCATATCGACCTGGTGGTGAACTTGCCCAATAACAACACACGCCACCTGAAGGACAACTTCGCCATTCGCAGGATGGCTGTCGACCACGGTGTTCCCCTCATTACCAATTACCAGGTAAGTAACTGTCACACTGCCACTGACTGGCACGTATACATGCACAGTTATATTCCACTATCATTCTGAATATGAGATTATTCTGAATTTGATACAGGTCATGAAAACAGCATTTTCTGTTTGGATATTCTGAATTAGGCCTTTTTCTGAATGAAGCATTTTCCAAATGAGACATGTGGGACATGCCAGTGTTATTTGGCTTTTTGGAGCATTCTTTGAACATATAAGCCCCATTTCCATCAAACATCAACTCAGTGGCCTAGCGGTAAAGTGTCCGCCCTGAGACTGGGAGGTTGTGGGTTTGATCCCCAGCCGGGTCATACCAAAGACTATAAAAATGGGACCCATTGCCTCCCTGCTTGGCACTCAGGATCAGGGGTTGGAACTGGGGGGTTAGATCACCACATGATTCCCGAGAGCGGGACCTACCCCACCTTTTACTACTGTGTGCAAGGTACCCCAACAGAGGGGTGACCAATAATTGGGAATGTATAGAACGGTTCTATTGGTACCATCCACAACTTCTCACAGTCGAAACAGAAAAGAAGCGTACCAAACATAACTGTACCATACTGTACTGCTCGGTGGAAATGGGGCTTAATATAGCACATTCACAATATTCGTTTCAGTTGGGGTTTTGGAGGGGTCGGTTGCCTGACTATGGTCAGCTCTGTGCATTGTCACGGATATATTGTACACAAACCAACTTGCCAACAGTTTGCAAGTCTGAGGTAGAGATGCAAGCCCAAAAGAAAGCCCACAGTGCTGGTTAGAAGGAGGAACACACCTACTTTTACGCATTATGAAAGACTTGGATATATAGGTTTTTGTATATGCACAAATATCAGAATGCCGACCTTTTCAAGAAGGTAGTTGAAGGAATATCCATGTAACATGGCTGCATGCAAACAGGAATATAAGTGGAATATTTATTTCATGTAAAAAGCATAGAAGGATTTTTTTCTTTGATTAATAAGGGCAAAAAAATGAAGATTTTATGCATGTAACTATAGTGATTGACTGGGCAAAACTTACATTTACATACATATGTCTGTCTCTCTTACTTGATGAGCTTCAGCATGATGTTATTCTTCTGTGGGTATTAGGTGGTGAAGCTGTTTGCAGAGGCTATCCTCCATGCAGGTGAGCTCGACACCACCAGCCTCTTTCACTACCGGCAGAAAGAAAGCCAACGAGGGGCCACCCAGCAGGGGTAAAGCTTCCTTCCATTCCCTTGGGATTCCTTTGTAAAACAGCAGCATCAGTTGGGAGCAAATGTTCAGAATATGGTTTCTTGAAGTTCTTCTGTTTTACCATCCTGTTGTGTCAGGAAGGAGTGGAGTTATTTCAGTGGTAAGAGTTGCAGTCTGATTAAAATACTGTCATTAACGATGTTGATGCGTTTATAAGCGTTTTATAAGTTGTAACTATTTTTTTTTTTATTACTTATCAATTAATTAATTCATTAATGTTTTACAGATAACAAACATTGACAAATTTTGGGTTGCCAGGTTGTGAAAAGTCTCTAGTTGGTGTCAATCCTCCAACAGGACACTGATTAATGGTAATAACTAAGAAAGGGTTTTTACAGTAAGGAAAGTCTTGCATTGTTAATATTAAAATGCTGTCAAAAGAAATGGATTGTGGAGCAGATGTTCTGCAGGTGTTTCTCTGAAGGTCAAATGGACTCTTACAGGAAGCCTCTTGCCTGTGTCTTGCTTGAGGATTAACACCAGCTAGAGGAATGTTTGACAACCTGTCAGTCCAAAAATTGTTCTTATAAATGTCTTATGAGCAATAAGGCATGAAAGAATTCATTATTATTGATAAACAGTTACAACTTCTAACTCACTTTAAAGTGCGACTTCAGTGGTACCAGAGAGAGTAATTACATATTTCACTTATACAAGTCCATGAGGGCATTGTTGCAAGTGTGTAAGTGTTTCTTACTGCCTTTTTTTTTCCTTTTATTTGAGATCAGTGGTTTATTTTCTTTGTATTATTTTTATTCTTGGGGCCTCTTTAACTGTGATTAAATAGTTTTATTTTCACTGTGCTCATTTTAATTCCAATTTTTTGACCAGTTTGCTTTTCTATTTATTTGGTCTCATTCATACATTCTGTTTTAGACTTCAAATAATGATGAAAATGCACCATATAGTAAACATGTACTATATGCATGCCCCTTAACAATATATACATTAAGGTAATGTAGCTGTAATGAATATATGATGTAATGTAAGAAGGATAATAAGGAACTTTTATTGTTCAAGAGGTCCAGCCTGGAGCCCAAAGCTTTAAAGTTTGAAGTTGATGACAACTGATCTGTTTATATATTTGGATTTTGTGTGTGTATACTGTATTTTTCAAACTGAATCTGTGTTTCAACCTGCTCTGCATTTTAAAACATCCTACTCCAAATGTGTTAAAGTGTACACTGCATAGCAATACATTTTGTTGTTGTTTCTGCTTATGTTTGTGTTATATAAGAATCCACTGAAATGCAAAGTCTTATCTCACATGATTTCTGTGCGTGTGTGTGTTTGTGTGTGTTTGTACTGGACATGCATTAAAATCAGCATGCCTTTCCTCCCACACCACAGCCTCTGCTTTAAACAGGCCATTCACACACAGACAGCGCAACAGCATTGGAACAAGGGATTATCACTGTTAAGCACCAAGTCAAAGAATAGTTTTGTCCAAGAGGTTAATACAAAAATATAGCATACTGACCCTGAAACAGATAAAAAAAAAAGACTTGTGTTAGGGATTCTATCAGTTAAGTCTGTAATGCCTACAGCATGCATTTTAAAATCACAGCAATAGCAAACCCTCTAAAACAACTCAATCTGACAGAAATGTGGGGTTACCTTTAAAAGGTATTACGCTGCTGGAGTGTCTTTTCATAAAACTGGTCTGTTAATGCAGTAGAAAGACACAAATACTTTTGAAATTGGTGCTATATGACTATATATGGCTATTTGATCTCAAGTCTTTTCAACATCTTTATACACAATACAGGAAGCAGAATGGCACCTACTTTCTGTTCACAAACTCTCATTTTACAGCTAAACAGTGCACTAAAGTATGTTTCTGAAAACATTTTAGGTGAGAAAGAAGCAATGCATTTACAGAATGTTGGTTTATATTTAATCAGTGCAGCCTAGTTTTACGGTTTGAGGAAGAGAGAGAGAAGGGCATCTCTCTCTCTCTCAATCCACTTGTGTACTCTTTAGTCCAGTTCAGACCAATGATTCGCGACGAGAGGAAAGCGTTTTAGAACGTTGCAGCGGTGTTAACTGGCCGGTCTCAGCTCAACTCAGGCCAGCTGATTGTGTCATCTGCAACTCAGCTGGTCGAATCCCCTGCGGCTGGGTTTAGAATGTAAAGCACATCACCTGTTTCAACAGCCAATCACCCCAGGCAAACCCTTGTTTCTGTCCTCGCAGTGTGCCGGTGTCGGACAGTGGGTCCCCGCTGCTGCTCACTGTATGTGCTTATGCACCCCCCCACACACACACATTCTCACTGACTGATTAATTGGCTGTGGTTATTCATATTATTGTGGTGTAATTATTGTAAATACAGTCCATCTGATGCTCGTTTTGTTTTTTCGCCGTTTCATTACTACAAATGCAACTGTAGCCAGTATCTCACCATCACTATCCTCATTCTTATTTTAAGACGCTACAAATTATATTCAGCCACAAAATAAGCCTGAAAAGCTGAAAATCAGAACAGAGGTACAGAGAGTTGTTGCACAGAGATGATACACCATCTCATCTAGTAGTAGGTTTTAAGAATGTTGCAGAACGGCGCATTGCAAGTACTTGCATGTTTCAACTCGTCTTGTCGTGAATCTTTGCTCTGAACTGGGCTTTTGTGTCGGTGGTGGTGGCAGGGTTTCAAAAATGAGGAAGTACAATCTGTAGTTAGAGCTACAGCCCTAAAACCAGCTAAACTCAAATGAGCAGGGAGATCTAAGCGCTGGCAAGATTGGGGTAAATCTAATGTAGTTTATTTACACATACTGCTCACACTGTTATGACACACAGCAGGTTGAAAATCAGCAGAATATCCCTTTGCCTTGGGCTATTCTTCAGTTAAGAATTTTCTTTACAGGGGCCTGTAGGGGCATGTAGATACATGAAAATGCAAAAACTATGACTCAAAGAGTCCACACTTTTCTCCAAAGGGCAGAAAGTCTGTATTGCTTCCCTCTGTAGATTAAAACAGTCAAGAATGTACGTTTCAATACTTAAATTAGTTATGTCAAATCAGAAGCAAAGTCAATATCTACCATGAGAAACAGCCAGTAAAACTTACAACTGTGAACCATCATCTTCATAGACACCTTCCTCTTAACACCATTTAAATATCCAGGAAACCCTGATAAAATCTTATTAAAGCATATTAAAATCATTCATACACATCAAGGGTATGATCATGCCTTCGGGGCAAATAAAACAACAAGGTTAAACACAGAAATAAACAACAATTTGATTCCAATACACTATCTGCCTAACACAAGGCTAATGCTATTATGAGGCTGTACAGTTAGTCTAAGCTATTTTGTGCCCCTGCTAGCATAACTGCTTCAGGTTCCATTTACAGACAGCACAACCCTCCAAAGACCGCTAATATTGATCTGCCTGCAAATCCTTGGCAACCTTCCTCCAGCTATTTGACACAAGTTTACCAGCCTCACATCTGTGCCTCGGCTTCTGCAGGTAACAGAAGATACTAAGCAACATCCACAAATAGCACATCCCTATCTGGCTGCAGAATTTAAAGTTAAATAAACCAAAAGGTAGAGAAGGGCAGTTCTTGTTTACACAGTAAATGTGGTCTCACTGTGACTGCAAGGGAGTGGTGAAGTATGCAGATCTTTTACTTAAATATAAGTTGCAATAGTGCAGTGTAGAACTACTCTGTTTCAAGTAACAGCCCTACATTTGAAACTTTACAAAGTACAAAAGTATTAGCATCAAAATATAACTGAAGTAGCAAAAATAAAAGCATTCATTTTGCAGAATAAATATTTTATCACTAGACTATAATTGGTGATGTATTTAAGTGTCACTTGTGCCTCATACCTGTCTCCAAAGTGCTGTGTCAGCTCCAGAGAAATGTCCGTAAGCACACATTATGATTCTGCTATATGGGAAAAATCCCACTGTGTTACTTTTATTTCTTTAAAGCAATCACAATCGTCTTAAGTGATTCAAGACCCAAGATGGAGCAACGGTGCCCTTGCAAAATAGTGTTGGTGTAGGGCAGGGGTGTCAAACATACTGCCCATGGGCCAGAACCGGCTCCCCAAGGGGTCCAATTGGGCCCACTAGATTACTAGACTAAGAGATGGCAGGTTTCAGGAGCAAGTTAAACATGCGTAGCCTACCTTATTTAAAATTCTGCTTCAGAGGCTTTTCAGCCCTGCCCAGAATGTAGTTCTCTTATTTTGAGCATGTTTACAGATATTGAACATTGTCGAAAATATTGTCAATCAGCAACTTCAGTGCAAAAGAATCTGTATCTGACTGTATCACACCTGTATCTGTATCAGGAAATGTATGGATAAATGCACGTGTAATGACAGTGAGAAGTACACTGCCTGAATGTGGAAAAACTGAGACATATTGTTGAAAATGGACATATTTTTCTTAAGACATCTCAGGCTTTTCATCTGCTTTGTAGAAGGATGAACATCCAAAGAATGTAATTGTACTTTATCACAAAAAGAAAGGGAAAAAATTGCCACTGATGTTATTTATGGGTTATTGTGCAATGTTTTTATTGGTCTGGCCCATTTGAGATCAAATCGGTTTGTACGTGGCCCATGAACTAAAATGAGTTTGACACCCCTGGTGCAGTTAGACTTGTTTTGGTGGAGCACTTTCATTAAAATGGCTCATTCTCCGAAAAACAAGAGCAACAAAAACAGACGTATCTTGACTCAACTTTACTGATTTAAAAAAAAAACCCAAAAAAACATAATTTGATGATTGGTGACCTAGAGGTAAAGCCTGACTGTGCTTTAGTCCTGGAAGAGCTCACTAGGAACAGATCTGTATGCTGGTGAAGTCAGTCTCACTGACACAAGCTCTGAGATTTTCTGAGAAGCGTTCACAAGTTGTTTTATTCATTGTGTATCTTTAAAACAATTCACCAAAAGAACAAAGTGGGCATGCCTTATTGCATGATCAAAATCTTCAGCAAAACTTGTCATTTCCAGGATGTAGGTTGTCAGCTCAGAGATAATAGTTGCTGTTTCCCCATAGGGACTTTGGAAACAGTGACATGCAAATAACAGAAGAAAGAATGCCGGCCTCAATATCCAGGTTGCCAAAGGCAGGTTTATAGCTACAGTCTACACTTAGTCAGCATGCAAGTGTCACTAATGTTGGACCTAGTAAATGTGGAGCTAATCTTAACAAATGTATATACTGCCTGTACTTAAGGACAGTACTTGTGTAAATGTACATAGTTACATTCCACCACTGCTCTACGCCACCTCTTCACAAAAGGATGATACTGCTTATTTTTCTCATTTGAGAGTCTGTGGTGAACCGTGCTTATTGCTGCCACGTAGTAGTAGCTGATGTTACGTCTAATACAGGAGCCCTCAGGACTGTTTCATTATTCAGAAACAGATGTCTAAATTAGTGTTGTAGCTGTTTTGGAATGTGCAAAAGTCAGGACTGATGTTTGAAACAGCAAATAGTGATGCTCTGTTAGTGAACATGTGCGTGAACGAGTGTTGTGAACTAGTCGTATCCAAGAGGGGCTTCATCATTATAAAACTCACTGAGTCACACACACACACACACACACCAAGGGTTGTAGCTGAAGAGCACCAGTTGTCTTTTTTTAATGCACAAGCAGTTACTGCATAACCCTTGATTTGGTTGCCAACATGACATTTACTGTGGGAGGGAGGACAGCCTGGGTCAAAGCAAACCTTACTGGATCATTCACCTCTTAACAAATAAATTCAAAGCTAACTCTATTAAATGTACTGCACGAGGGCATCGACCTGGGGTCAGGCGGTCGATTCCAAGCATTGCTGTAGCATCATCTGACCTGTCAGCATGCTATTCTTCCTTATTCTTATCTTTGAAGGAATTACACTTGTTAATAAAGCTAAGATACTTTATGTTTGTTTATAGTCAATAAGGGAAAAAGTGCCAATACTGACAATCAATAGGAAAACATGGAGGAAATATGCAGCTACATCAACTCAAAATACAGTTGATTTTGCCATTGACTGCTAATTAGAAAGCAGAGCTGGGGTGTGGGCCAACATTCTGTAAACTTTCACCCTATAGTAGCCACTTTCCCAGCTTTTAGTTTAGCGTAATTTGTAGAGTATAATTGAAGTTTTCTTTGCTTCGGTTTTGGCCAAGAATGTAACAGCAGGAGTGAGAGAACGAGAGAGAATTAGTGAGAAATCTAAATATATTCATGACTTCTTGTTATGTCAGACAGAATTGAAAAATTTTTTTTTTTGTTTTCCTTTGACTGGCTGTCACATGCAGAAAATATCAAATTCTGCAAAGTCTCAAATCCTGTTCAGTTGAGCTAA